ACTCGAACTTATAAGACCTCAAAGAGGCACATTCGAGCTCACAAGACCTCAAAGAGGCATCTCCTCGATATTAAGGCCAAGGTCATCACACTCGGGTACTAAAGGCTACGACCACATAAAAGACTACGGTCATATAAAAGGCTACGGCCGAAAGAATGCGGCTCGGAGACGTCCGACTTCCGCCATAAAAAAGGCCTTCATATACTTCGAAAAAATCGGTTAATTCAGGCTACCCTCGGCAAAAGCAAATTATAAGGGGCTTCGATATATTCAGCCCTCGAATAACGCGAAGGCTTCGATAACATCAGCCTTCGAAAAAACCTCAAGAGGTATTCGATTAACGTTGCATATCAAATTACAAACAAGGATCCAATCAACCGAACCTTCAAAAAACCCAAACGGGTACAAAAAATACATGCTAAGGCATACAAAATTTTCACTAAGTCTTTTAGCAGAAAAGAGGGAAAAGTTTATAGCCATTTTAGAGGCCGAATTGGCCCCACCTAAAAAGCCTAAAGGCCAACCTAAAAGAGCCTAAGGGCCAATATTTAAAGAGCCTAAGGGCCAACCTAAAAGAGCCTAAGGGCCAATATTTAAAGATCTTTAAGGCCGAAGCACACCATGCTCAAAGACCTTACCCAGCTCGAACTCAAAAGTCCCGAGCTAAAACTTAGCTCGAAGATCGAACTTTAAGTGGTAACTTATTATCGATCGTTGATCAAAATACAAAATTTGAGGGTCTACTCTACCCCGAATTTGATTCAACGCTCAAGAGGATAGAACATTAAAAATTAAACAAACACTGAAGAAAAATTGAAGGCAAACGATCAAAGAAACTCCTTTTTATATATACAAAAATATATTACACGGGAGTCCTACAGAACAAAAAATTACAAAAAGATACAAAAAATTGTACCTACTCCAGAGGGGCATTCCCCCCGGACCTGTCGCTTTCGCGGGACCAGCCTCTTCCCCGGGGGTAACTTCTTCGGCAGCCCCCTCATCTTCATCATCTTTGACGTCATCATCATCGTCGGAGGAAAGGACAAATTTGGCATCAGCCTCATCTGCCTTAGCTTGCTTTATCTCCTCAGAAAGATCAAAGCCCTTAGCGTGAATCTCTTTGAGGGTCTCCCTTCGGGATCGGTGCCGGACATAGTCATTGCTTCTTTTCTCTCGATCAGAAGCCTCCCTCAACTCCATCTGAGCATCGGCAGCATCCTTCAAGTAGATGGCCACCATATTGTCGGCCTTGGCTCGTATTATGCTGGCCTCGGCCCTAACTTCCACGACTTCGGCCTTGGCCTTTGCAAAACCAGCCTAGAGCTCGGCTATTCTGCCAGCTTGAACCAAGTTGCTCCCCTGAGCATTCCGAAGTTGAACCTCAAGGGCTGATACCTTCGCCAGTGCATCATTTTTTGCCGCAACGAGGGCATCTATCTTCGCCTTCCATTCATTGCACTCGGCTCGGACTTGATCGACCTCGCCCAGGAGCTGCCCAATCATGTCTAGCTTTTGCTGCAGCTGAGACATTGAAGTACTAGCCTCCGAAGACGGGAGAGGTAGCCCGTATTTTTTCAGAAAGAGGTTACCTGCTTTTCTAACTCGCTCTCGTATTCGCGAGCTTTGGTCAACTCCGATCGAAGATGCTTCAGTTCTTCCTCCTTTTTGTCAAGGAGAAGCTTAAGGGTGTTCTCCTCATTTGAAGCCCTACGTAATTCAACTTCACAGTGACGCAATTCCGTCTTCAATTTATCGAAGACCTACGCAAAGGAAAATAATGATCGATTAGGCACAGGAAGAAAAGTATGGCATTGGAGAAATATCAGTGCCACTAAAAACTTACAATTAAGCAAAGACGCTGAGCCTCCTTGAAGATTGAGCTTGCATTTGCAGGGTCGGCCTCATCGACCCCGGCAAAGTAACCCTGGAAGGGGTCGTTTTCACTTAGGAATCCGCCGAGCTCGGACGCCTTCACATTCTGAGCATCCCTGATGGTATCCTCGGAGAAGACCGGAAACAACGAAGGTTGACCTGTTGTCATGGCCTCGGGGAGATCACCCGAGGCGCTCTGTTCAGGCAGAGGAGCTTCGAAGCTCGCTCCCTTTGGAGCATTTCCAGAAGTTTGAGAAGCAGTTGTCACGTCAGATGATGCGGGGCCTTCATCCCCCTTTTCTTTTAAAGTTCCTTCTTCGAGGCTAGGGGCCTCGATCTCAGCAGGCTTGACAGCCTCGGAAGATTTCCTGGTTCGAGTCACCAGTGTCGAGCCCTCCATCTCGTCACCGTCATCGTCCATGAACTGGTAGACCGAGTCAACATCCACATTGATAACGACGCTTTTCATATGCCTTCGAGCGGGCTCTGCTTGGCTTTAATTGTCCTCTCTCTTCGAGGACCTTTTTCTCTTGTTATCCTCCTTTGGCTTTGGAGCCGAAGACCTACTTCCTCCCCGGAAGGGGGCAGCCTCATTTCGAAGAACTCACCAATACCTGCGATAAAGGAATCAGGTCACATGAAGAAAGACATTCTTAATAAAGAAAGAAACATTATGACACGTACCGTGGTGTTTCGCTTCCCACTTTCCCTTCGACAAGTCCCGCCATTTGCGTTTGTTGTATGGTGAAGTAGCAACTAGTTTGCGAACCCAGTCCTCAAGGTCGAGGATCGCATTAGGCATCCACGGATCTGCAGAGAAAGGAAAGGAGTAAGTACGCGAAGTTTAACAAAAATCTATGGAAAAGAACTAAAAGAATTCCACTCACGCTCGAAATTCCATTCCTCGGGGAATGGCAGGAACTCCTCGAGAATAATATCGACGGTCCTCACCCAAATGAACCAGCTCATCCAACATCGATCCTTGCCTTCGTCGTTACTGGCGAAGAAGGACTTGGTCGATCGGCGTTAAAGTTTGATTAAACCTCGAAAATGTTGAGGCTGATATAATCGGATGAGGTGTCTGAGGGTGAACTCGAGCCCGGCTTTTTCGACGAAGAACCTCATCATTATTACGATGCGCCAAAAGGACGGATGAATCTGGCCCAGGGTCACTTGATATCTTCGGCAAAATTCAAGCACGAGCGGGTCGAGGGGACCCAACGTAAAGGGATATGTATACACACTTAGGAACCCCTCTACGTAAGTTGTGATATCCTCCCCACGAGAAGGTATTTGCAGAACGACCTTCTCTTCCCAATTACACTCTTTCCTCACAGCATCGAGGTGTCCTTCCTCAATTGACCTTATGTAACTCGATGCATTCTCTCGACGGCCGGGGACGTCGGGAGGGTTCTCGACTATAAAGTCCTTTTGTAAAGAAAATCTGCCTGGTACGAGCTCGTGAAGCGCCGACGACTTACCATCGGCCAGACGGGAAGTGGAATGGAGTTTCCCTCTTTCTGAGGAACGGATTTGGAAGCTTTTGCCATCGATTCTTTAGAAGAAGAAGATAGAAATGAATAAGCCGGCGAGGTTTTGAACCGATGCGGCGGAGGAACTGGAAGTAGGAAAGGAAACGTATAGAAGAGAATAGGTGTTGCAAGATGGAAAAGTCCTTAATGAGAAGAGAAAACAAGTATATATAGAGGAAGGCAGCGACGGTTCATTAATATTGACGGCTTTATTATTTTTACTTTATTGTTCATACTTTGCTTACTCTCAACTCACCTCGAGGCCCCCAGTGCTCTAACAAACTGGTTTGGTTCATCAATTCTTTTTGCTTAAACCTAATATTACTTGTATATTCATTAGTATTGAAATAAATCACATATCTTTAAAACCAGAAATCATCTTTAATTGTTATTCACATTTTTCGAGGTAAACAGTTTTCAAAGTGTAGTCGGTTATTATAATTGAAACAGTGTATGATCTTTACTAACTGATATAGTTTTTTTTTTTTTTAATGCAATTTGCAGAAGAAAGCAACATTCATGGGGAGAGTCCCATAAAGAAATGAATACACCATAAAATACAGGAGCTCCCATCCCATCTCTTATCAACTGAAGAATTAACGAAAATTAAATGTAGACAATTTCGTATGGTACAAATACAAATTTGACCCTTTTCCTTTTATAAATTCAAAACAATTATTTTTTCAAAGAAAAAACATCAAATAGGACTCCAGATAATTACTATAGTATGTGTTTTTTTTTATTTAAAAAAAAAAAGAGATAATTACAATGTTCCAATATAGGACACGTGTTAGGCTAATTGGTACCCACGTAGGACAAGAGTTTTAGGCACAAGAGAAATCATGAATTTAGAACCATTCACTAGTGATCTTGTCACTTTTAGCAGAATCCTTTAGTGGACCTATAGCCACAAACTTCTTGACCTGTCCCAATACAGAAAAATTTTATTTTTCTCCTCATTTTTATTTTTTATACAGTGAAAGGGTCAAACGATAGAAGTTAGGGAGTTCTAAATGGAGAATGGAAAAATTCAACAAGAATTTTATTTAAATATAAATAAATAGATAACTCCCAAATAATATAACAACAAGAATTCAAATATTATGAAACTTGATTCATAACTTATAGTTCATTCTATCAAGTTCCCTATTTCTTATAAAAAATTATTTTTTAAAATTCTTGGTTGTTACTTATAATGTAACTCCAAAAAAGAGACAAGTGAGGCTTGCTCAGATCTCTACATGACCGATAGGTTCTAGGTTCGAGTCACACTACAGGGAAAGTGTGAAAACACTATAGATCCTCTTAAATTGGGAGGAAAAAAAACCCCAAAAAAAAAAACCAACAACGGTTGTGGTGGAGTGGTAAGTACTCCTTCATCCTTAATCAGGGGTCTCGGGTTCGAGCTCTGGGTATGGAGTCACCTTTGTTAGGGATCACTTTACCCCCAATGTGGGACTTCACGGCGCGATTCCGGATTTAGTCGGACCTCAATGCGGACACCGGACATCGGATGGGAACCTAAAAAAACCCAAAAAAGAAGAAAAAGGAAAAGAGGAAATATAATTCGAAGTAAGTGAAGGGAAAAAACAGAAAAGAATAGCAAGACTAACAGTCAACCACAATTTACAAAATCATAACTGAAAAACCAAACCCCACTAGGATAACATTTCCTTTTATTTTTCTTTGAGAAAGAAAAAAAATGGTACATTGTCAATGGCAACCAAACTTTCACAGTATTTCTATCAAGAAAGATCTTTCTTGGAAATGCAGACCATCTAACAGAGTTTCCATTAACAGAATCAGAGGTGTACAATGTTGCAGTAGTAATTCATCATTTCCAGTATCATCAACAACAAGGGAAGAAGAAGTGGGATTGAAGGTTGAGGTTGGAAATGTTGGAAAACAAAGAGGAAATTATGAGGTTGACTGTTTTGTGAATGAGAATGGTTGGTTAGTGAGAAGAATGATTGAGACTGAAGAAGAGATGAAGAAAGTTGCTGGAGTTCAAGCTGAAGCATTTCATGAACCTGTTTTCATCTTCAATGATATTTTCCTTGAATTCTTTCAGGTTCTAATTGCCAAAACCCCTTTGAACTTGTTTTTATTATCAATGATTTATTCTTGGGCAAGTTACACATTTGGCCAGTCGACCAAAATTAATTACATTCACCAGCAAATATATAAAACATAAGTATAAAATATGTATATTATACATTAGAAAGGGGAGTCCCGGAGCAGTGGTAAAGTTGTCTCTGTATGACCTATAGGTCACAGGTTCGAGCCGTGGAAACAGTCACTAATGCTTGCATTCGGGTAAGCTATTTACAGCATACCCCTTGGGATGCAACTCATCGTGGACCCTGTATGAATGCGGGATGCCTTGTGTACCGAGTTGCCCGATTGATGTATGTTATATATTAAGAAAAAGGACAGTCCGATGCACTAAGCTCTCACTATGCATAAGGTCCGGGGAAGGGCCGGACCACAAGGGTCTATTGTACGCAGCCTTAGCCTGCATTTCTGCTGTTTCCACGGCTCGAATCTGTGACCTTCTGGTCACATGGCAGCAACTTTACCGGTTACGCCAAGGCTCCCCATCAATGTGTATATTGATGTATGTTATATATTAATATACAAAAAGTATACATTTTGCTGGCTATTATTTTCGGAAGCGGCTTATGCTGTGTAGTTTTCTCTTTATTCTTCCCAAAATCCCATTGATGATTTTCTGTGTCATTTTGTATTTTGTATTTTTGTTCTCAGTTTCATGTCTCTTATCAGTATATATATTAGGAAATGAATTTGGCAATATTTGCTATCTGTTAGTAGTATTCTGTAATCCCCCTTCTAGCAATGAATTGCTTCATCTCATATTATGGTTCATATATTTTTATCTCCATTTGAATAAAATGAGAATTATGATAATGCAGGCTGAAGTACTTTCTGGACTTCTTTACAGATTAAGGAATTCACCACCAGACAGGTAAACACATCAAACATATCTGTTTTCCCTTTAATGTTAAGAAAATTATGATCATTTACTAATTTTAGAAATATAATAACATGACCTCATTATATTCTTTGCTAAGGTAAGGTTCATATTACATGAATTCTTCATTCGCCTTGAATATTGGGACTTCAGATGTAAGTATAATTCAACCTACACAAGAATCTTAGTTCACAGTCAGGGGCGGATGTAGTTTGTTAGGAACGGGTTCAATTAAACCCATAACTTTCGACGCGGAGTAAAATTTTATGTATAAAAGTTTATTAAAATTGCAAAATTAGTAGATATGAACATATAACTTTAAATATATAATGGGTTCAATGCTAAAAACCTTAAAAGTTGAACCTATAGAGTTTAAATCTTGGATCCGCCTCTATTCACAGTAAAGCATTCATACTGCTCAATTAGGTTCTTTACCCTCCACTCAATTCAAGAACTCGAGAATGAGCATGTGCCCCGTTTTGATCTGAATAGAAGAAAGTGAGACCCCCTTAATTTTCTGTCGAAAGAAATGAGATACTGGTGGATTATGAGTTAAACATGGAGATGGATGAGTTCCTTTATTACTAATGAAGTAAAATCAAGCTGCCTGATGCACTAAGCTCCCGCTATGCGCGGACTGTACCACAAGGATCTATTGTACGCAGCCTTACCCTGTATTGGAGTAAAATCAAGCTCATCAGGTTATTATCCACATATGTAGGTTGATAAGTTTAGGCTGCTATTTATAGTTCAGATATCCAATTCTTGATATTGAGATTGCCTATGAAAGAAAGATAAACAAATTCAGTGTTTTTACAACTACTCCAACTAGATCAATGTCATTCTTGTTTGTACTAAACTGAAACTATTCATTAAGAAATTCTTGAGTAAACAGGTATGCATGTTTAGTCGCGGAGCCCTCAAGTGACAGTCCTCAAGATATTGTTGGGGTCGTCGATGCTACAGCGTTTAGAGATAACGATGTTCTTCAGTACCTTCCTGGAGCAGCAGAATATCTCTATATTTCTGGGATAGCTGTATTGAACAAATTCAGGTCCATTACTTTAGATTGATGCTTTCTTTGATATGGCACAAATTAAAATGTTGTTTGTTATACTATCAGTTTTTTTTATGTTCATTATCTTGAGTTGTTACAATTATCTTAAAATTAATGTCAAGGAAACAACTTAAACAGATATTGCGAAACTAACTAACATCATTAGAGGTTCGAGTCACTTTATTATGCGATAACTCTCTTTGCTGCTACTTCATAATACGCAGCCTTACCCTGCATATCTGCAAGAGGCTGTTTCCACCGCTCGAACCCGTGAGCTCCTGGTCAGATGGCATCAACTTTACCAGTTACGCCAAGACTCCCCTTCAACATAAATCCTTTTATAAACAGGATAAAGCACCATTCCTATTGTCCTATGTCAACTTTCAACCAAATACTAGCAAGATGATGTTGTTCTTTCATAGAACATCATTTTTCATATCAGATATGCTGCAAATACAGATGAGTCATATATGTGTGCATTTTTCGGTCAAAATGGTATTTGATTTGAGATACCATAACTGTTTGTATCAATTGCAGGAGGCAGAAAGTTGCAACTGCTTTGCTTAAGGCTTGTGATGTGCTTGCAAGATTTTGGGGTTTCGACTATCTCGCCCTAAGGGCATATGAGGATGATTTTGGTGCTCGACGATTGTATACAAATGCGGGGTACAGGTTAGTTTCAAGTGATCCGCCATGGACAACTACGTGGATTGGTCGAAGAAGGCGAGTTCTTATGGTTAAAAAGGTGTTACATGAATCAACTACTAACATTCATTGAAACAAAGACTTTGCTTCAAGTGTTTTGACAGTCACTCAAAGTACCTATGAATTGAAAAAATAGAATTCTGTAAATACAATATAGTTGGACAAAACTGTTTGATTGATCTTCAGGAAAGAGTACTGTTTCTTGACTCTTGTGAATATTCCTTTTATTTTTTCAGAGCTGACTGCTGCTGTTCTATCTTATATGAAATTGTAGACATGTAAAAATTATTAAATTTAGTCCATACAAAATGTGGAGTAAATTCTAAATTACTTTGGATCGAATAATTAATTTGGACTTCACAAATTAATAAGTCCATTTTTAATTTCAAGCCCAAGGTCCATTTCATCTTAAGGCCCAGGCTCATGCCATGTGTCAAGTGACATGACATGTCCAGTCAACTCAAAGCCAGCAAGATGACGCCACGTGTTAAATGATGTGGCAATCCCAGTCCAAAACAGTGACCAATCAAGAGTTGCCAAGTGTCTAAAATGACATGTCTTGGCCAATCACAAGCAAGCTTATCACATAGCTTATATGATAAGTTTGATGACTCACATGAATCAATCAGAATCAAGCAAGAGAGTAAAAATGTAGCTGGACTGTTCATCCTCTACCATTATAAATAGAGGGGTTACATAACTCTCTAGGGGACATTCAGAGTTGGAGAAGAGCATTCCGCAATTGGTGAAGGCATCCGCAAACAGAGAGATCAATCATCAAGTGCAAAGTTCTTCTACAAAGGAGTGGCCAACGGAGTTCTTCCCGGAGATCAACCCGAAACAACAAAGTACTGCTTGACATTCTTAGCGATTAAATACATCACAAGGAGGTCTATATCGTCCTACATTCGAGAAAGACGCTTCTCAAGCCTTCAAATCACGGAGAATTTCATAGAGGAGAATCAAGGGATACAAAGAATTGTACTCACAAATATTCATTAATAAAATCTCTTTTCTTCATATTATTTTTTGTACTACAAAAATTTGTTACAAACAAATTTTGGCACGCCCGGTGGGAACAATTCTGCTCTTCATCTCTGTTGATACCCAATTTTTCCCTGTATATTTTAAATATGCAAAATACCTTCAAAATAGCATATATATGCATATATAAGCATGTCCAAGGTTTTATTATTTTTTTCATAATTTTAAGGATTTTAAATTGATTTATTTTCTCCCTTTTTATCCATAAAATTCTCAATAATTATTGCCAAAATTATTGTTTTGATAATTCATCTATTGGATTTCTATATTCATGCCAAAATATGGCTAAGGTAATTTTTACATATTTTAATAATTACATTTAGTATTAAAGTTAAATTGCACATAATTGCAATATTAGCCCTTTTCAGATTTAATTATGTTTTATATGCATAAAATTGGATCCTGTATTTTTAAATTGCTAATTATGTATTATAAATCATTTTAGCATTTTAAATTATTTTCTCAGAAATTACCTACTATTTTTTATAAATTAAATGGGAAAAAATGGCTATTTAACTTATAGCCAAAATTGGCTTTCAATTCTAGCCTAAATCAAATGGACCCCCAATCCAATTAAAAAAAACCCACCGGACCCAAGCCCAAACCCAAGCTATACCCGACCCACCTACCCCGTTCAATCTTGACCGTTGATCATTCAGATCAACGGTCCCCATTCCCCCTTCCTAAATTAACCCCTAAAGACTACCCCCCCCCCCCGACTCTCTCATTTCCCCCTCTCATTCTCTCTCAACCGGTCTCTCATCTCACTCTCTCTATCTCTGGTTCTCTCTAGAACCTTCTCCTCTCCGATGAACCTCATCAACCTTCTCCGGTCATCTCCTTGCCTGAATCCATGGTGGCCTCGCCACCTACCGGCCTTATGGCTCCCTCTTGAACGTGTGTCATCCTTTTGAGGCCTTCAAGTGAACCAGAGGCGGTTCACTCGCCTCCCATGGTTTCTCATGCCATTTTCCGGCCATCCATGGCCGTTCGAGTAAGATCTATGACTTTTCCGGCTAAAATTGGTAACATTTCAAGGTTTTCTCACCTTCTCTGGGTTCTCCGAAACCCTAACTTTAAAGATTTTCCGATTTCTTTTAGATCCGTTTTAGATCTGTGTATATTATGAGCTTTTATGTGTTTTCCTCAAAGGTTGTTCCCGATTTTTCCAAAATGACTCTTCGTCTTCAAGACTAGGGTTTCTTAACCTCTTTTAAATGACTTCTCCTCTGATTTTCAGTATTATCGTATGATTTTTTACTATGTTAAACGGTTTATTTATGTTTTTCTTCTACCTGATTCATCACGTTGAAAACCCTAATTATTTTGGTTTTTATCCGGGGTTCTGGAACTGTCTTTGCTTATGTGATTTGTATGTATACCTGTTTCGATTGATTTCTTTATGGTTAGACCTTTTTCTTTGTTTATCTTGACCGATTCTAAGTTCTTACCGCTTTTTAACTCTACTCTGTTAAAACTCTAATTTCTTAAAGATTTTCTTCACTTATTACTGTGAGTTTTAAAGACCTTCTTTACCTGTTTCTGTGTGTTAGATTTGTTTCTTCACTCTGGTTCTATGTGTTAGCTGTAACTACTTGACTTTGTTAAAGTCTCTGTTGACCACCATGCTACGAATGGGTTCCTTTTAGCTACTGAGTCCTTAGCCTACTCGTGTCACTTCTGTATGATTGTGTTCATCTAGTTTATTCCTTTATCGATATGGCTGACCTTGCATGTCTGATACGCCTGTTCATTCTTCTCTATTTATATGTCGAAGTGCAAAATCATGACTCCCTCTTGATTGATCCTGATTTCCTTAAATTACGGTTTGATTGCAAGGTTTTCTTATAAACCCCTAAAATTTTACTCGTTTGCTTAAGTTGATTGATTCCACTCCCTTATTTGCTGTGGTGCTTCATTCTTGCTGAATCCTTTCCTCAAACTGGTGTATTCTGTACTTAGACTCAATCATATGCTCTATACTTTTACTACCCCTTATATGGTAAAAACCAATCTTTCTCAACTGATTTTCTTTCCTTAGTTATCCCTGTTAGTATCCGTTTAAACTGTAATTCCTTGATTAAAGGAAGTACTTGTATTAATTGGATTCTAATTGTGATTACTTCCATAATTGTGCTAAACCTTTACTTGTTACCTTATTTTGTACCTATTTTCAAAGCTAAAAATACCCCAAGTCTTTCATTAACAAGACACGAACAATAAGTTCATAACACACACATACACACTCAAAACTCTCTCTTCTTTTTCTACTACTTGTGCTATTGCTTGTCTAGCCGGCTGAAAGCCAAGGCTAGACTGTGGAACTCTACTTGCTTTACTTTTTCTGCACTTTGCTTCCTTAACTGGTATGTTCCTAGTTCAATTCCGAAACTCAACTCTATGTGCTCCATTGTTTGTCAATCCCTGTCTCTTTCTGCACTGACTTAATGACTCATGTTGTTTAATTGCACTTCTTGTCTACTGCTTTACTCAGCATGCTTAGGTTCTGCCCTCTCTTGTTCAAATGTAACCAGCATGTCTACTTGAGTGTCTGTTTATGTCCCTCAACTAGTATATCTCCTAATGTACTTGGTTAACACCAAGTCATGACTAATTATGTGTAATAGACCCCTGCATGACTACTCCCATACCCTGTCCCCATGTCTTGTTACTATTCTAATTTCAAGCATGATTCTCTTGTTAACTCTTTGAAGTAATTGTTTGTGTTCTGGAGACCAATCAGCCCCTACTTGTTCTTTGTACTTGTTGGTCTATATGCACCTCCTCTCAGTCGTGTTTAGGTGTTGCTGATTTGGGCCCTCTATGTCCCCAACACCATCGAGCCGGACATATATCATGCCGGTTGTACCCCTTTCTATTCGGGTTGGTTGAAAGACAATTGGGATGGTCTGAGCCAGCCAGGGTTTGTTCGAGGTCACAGAATTATAGATGAAAAGGCCGAGGCGCAAGTCAAGTACAACCAGCTGCGCAAAAGGATCCATGAATGCGAGAGCGAACACCGCGAGATACAAGAATCCAACCAGAAGCTGATCGAGGAATGGAAAGACATGGCTATCAGTGCCAACAAAAGGCTAGGGTACTTGGAGCGAGGCATAGTAGAACTGGAGGGAAAGTTTTTCAAGAGGGTTGAAGACTGTCAAAGGGCTGAAGGGACCGAAGGTGGAAATCTAGCTAGAGCATACCTGTTGCTGGGACTTCGTGAATTGGGGAAGTTGTTCGATGGAGCCAAGGATGCCGAATCTGGGGAAGGTCCTTCTGGGACCAAATAGATAGGAATTTACTTTTTTCGCCTTATGAATGTAATAAGGCCAATGACCATTAGTGACTTTTATTTCTTAGTGTCGTTTTGGGATTCGCCTATTTTTATCAATAAAATGAGGCATTTAGCAATAAAAAGTTCTCCAAGTCTATTTGTCGCTAGGCCTACCTCGGGTACAAAGAGGTTCCCAAATTAGGACACGCTTTACATTCCTGCACTATGTGTTTAGAAATTGCAATACTTTTTATAATCCTCACTAACTTGATTACCTTTTGTTTTTTTATTTTTGTTTTATTATTCCCCTCCCCAAAGGTTAGTTCGTGCACTCTAGCATCATCATCATATTTCAAAAGATCAAGGGGCCCTCCATCCACTCCTCCTCTTAGTCCCATTAAAGGCAAAGGCAAGAACAAAATGGAAGATTTGAATAACATCAGGAAAGAGAACACAGCTGAACGGGTAGAGGCCACTGATGGCCATGGTATTCGGGTTCCTAACGAAAATGTGTCACAACTTGAACAGAAACTGTTGAAATTCCAGGAAGAGCTTACCCAACACCTCCACCCACATACCAACCAACCCCAAATTACCAAGCACCCTCATACCAAGCTCCACCACCAACTTATCAGTCATCTCCACCTCCTACATATCAACCTACCTCACCCAGATACTCACAACCCGCTCATGTGTACCAAACTTAAAATGCTCCACCATCGCATTATCAATCACCCCCTGCACGCTAAAACTTCCCTAGACCCCGACCTAATGTTGATCGCAGACCTCCAAAACAATATACAGCCATCGCTGAACCCATCGACTAGCTGTATGAGAGGCTTAAAGCTACTTGTTATGTCACCCCCGTCCCTGCTACAACCCCTGAGAATCCTTCTCAGTGGGTTAACCCAAACAAGTCCGGTGCATACCACTCCGGCATGAA